AAACTATAACAGGCTGATTCAAATTCGAGAGCCACCATGGGATATCTCGGAAACTGTAAGAGATAGGTAGGTAGTTTAAATTTGGCAAAAGTGCGTATTTTGGTGCTTAACAAAATGCAGTTTTGAAACTGAAAAAATTGCGGCTACTTTCGGAAAAAAACGAAATTTTGCAAGATCGTTTATTTTTTTTACTGAAGTTATTTAAAAATATATTTCAAAATAAATGACACATTACTAAGGCCGCCTTTTTCCCTCTAAAAGGCGCCAGTTTTAAATTTAAAGTCTGACGTTTCGTCTCCGGTTAATCATCATCCACTTTTTTTTTCTTATGGGAGTCATTTTTACTTGTTGTGGCAATGTGTGCTACAAATGGCTTATTGCTAACAAGTTGTTCCTAAATAAAGATAAAACAAGATACACACTGTTTAGCATGTCTTCGGTTCAAAACAAAAATGCGGAAGTTGGAATCTCCATATCAAACTGTACCATTCAAAATACGGAATCCTTGCAAATACTTGGAATGCTGGTCACCGAAAATTTAAAGTGGAAGACGCACATCTTGTCGCTTAACTCCAAACTTTCAAAAGCAATATTCAAAATTAGACAACTTAGAACTTTTTTAAATCCAGAAACCTTAATGTGTCTTAACTATGCTGAAATTGAATCCAGACTAAGATATGGCATCATCATCTGGGGTAGCAGTGGACAGGTTCAAAGCACCCTGATTCTACAAAAACGCGCCATCCGATCCATCGCCAGAGTTTCACTGACAACTAGCTGTAGACCGCTATTAATTCAAATGAATATATTAACCGTCATATCTTTATATATTCTTGAAGCCGCAAGTTATGTACACAAGTTTAAATTTAAGTTGATCGACAAATACAACACAGTACACTCACACAACACAAGGTCCAATCACATCAAAATTCCACATCATAGATTAAACGTCACAGCCAACAGTCCTCTCTACATGCCTATCAAAATATACAATCATCTTCCGAATACACAGAAACACCTACCCTATCATCTCTTTAAAAAAGCATTAAGAAAATATCTCGTTGATAAACCATACTATAATATACACGAATTTTTCATAGAGAATCTGAGTTGAGTTTATATTTAATGTCTAGAAGTTATATTTGTGTTACTGTTTAAGACATGATGTATTTTTTTTTAAGACGAATGTGTGTAATTTATTAGAATTACTTTTACACAATAAACACTATTATTATTATTCCTTGTGAGAACTCAGGTCTAGCCTGGTTAACTAATCGCACGGATTAAAATCAAGTAACGATTAGTGTCTGTGTCTGTGTCTGGTGAAGTTATGTAGGGTTCTAAAGAAAAATAAAAAATAAATAAATAAATAAAAAATAAAATAAATATTCACACACTCACATTGGAAATCTACGGATAGTATGCAATTCATACTTACCAACATAGCTATTAATGGCCACAATAGTCAACGCTATCAGGAAAGAAGAAAACAAAACAAAAATATCATTATAATAATTCCTGTAATTTTATTAATAGAGTTTATTGTGTAAGTGTTTCTTTGGCTTTGCGTTTGGGTTGAATACGAGTGGGTTGTGATAACGTGGTGTGTTTATGTGAAGAAGGAGTTTTGTGTTTTTTAATTGTATTTATGGCGTTTCTTTGTTCCTGAGGTCGTATTTGTGAGGTTGTTTGGGTTTTTGGTGGAGATATTGCAGTATTTTGTGAGCCTGTGGTGCTGTTAAGGTTTTTGCGCTTCGGTTGTATACGAGTGGGTTGTGACAATGTGGTGTGTTTCTGTGAAGAAGGAGTTATGTGTTTTTTAAGTGTGCTAGGGCGTGTAATTTTATTGGGTGGACCTGTCTTTGTAGTGCATGTTGCGTTACTTGTATTTATGGTGTTTCTTTGTTCTTGACGTTGTATTTGTGTGGTTGCTTATTATTATTATTATTATTATTATTTGATTTCCCGTTTTCAAAAATGTAAATATATATATATGTATATATTTTTTAATCGGAAATGGCGCTATTAATGTGTAAAAACGCAAGAGATTACGAGCATACACTACCCAAGACAAAGTTTGGCAGGCAAAACGAAGATATTTTAACAATATTTAAAAAATTAGTTATTTTTATTGGGTGGACCTGTCTTTGTAGTGCATGTTGCGTTACTTGTATTTATGGTGTTTCTTTGTTCTTGACGTTGTATTTGTGTGGTTGCTTATTATTATTATTATTATTATTATTTGATTTCCCGTTTTCAAAAATGTAAATATATATATATGTATATATTTTTTAATCGGAAATGGCGCTATTAATGTGTAAAAACGCAAGAGATTACGAGCATACACTACCCAAGACAAAGTTTGGCAGGCAAAACGAAGATATTTTAACAATATTTAAAAAATTAGTTATTTTACACTTTTGAAATAAAAAAAAAATGCTCTATTACAATACATGACACAAGAAGCAAAAATGACTTCCATAAGAAAAAACAAAGTTGACGATGGTTAACCAGAGACGAAACGTCAGAATTAAGATTTAAAGGTAGCATCTTGTAGACGGCAAAGTCATAATAATTTGTTATGTATTTGAAATATCTTTTTTAAATAACTTCAGTAAAAAATAAAAATGATTTTGCAAAATTTCGTTTTTTTTTCCAGGATATTTCCGAAAGTAGTCGTAATATTTCCAGTTTCAAAACGGCATTTTGTTAAGCATCAAAATACGCTACTTTGCCAAATTTAAACTGCCTACCTATCTCTAACAGTTTCCGAGATCCCCATGGTGGCCCTCGGATTTGAATCTGTCCGTATAATTATTAAAGGTAAAATTAATTTTTTTTATTTGTCTGGGTTTTATAAAATTAATTCATAACCAGCCCATCCAAATTTGACCTTCAACATTAGGCGTATCCCGTGTATTAAGAGTCACTCAGTGAGAGGTTTAAAGTGGGGGTAGCTGGGGTGCGGTGTGGAAAGCTAGTTAATAATATTTTATAAGCAGTTGTGTCATTTGTGAAGGTAACCATAGGAAAGGAAAGGAAGGAAAAATATTTTCGAATACTTTCATTACGGAATTCCTATATTATAGTGTTAAAGATAATTGTAGAACCACATTTTAAAACGTCTCAATACCTTTCAAGGATATTCGACACTAAGTCTGCTACTACAGATGTAACTTCCCCAGCCGCTCAAACAAAAATTACAACCTTTATTGTATAATAAAATTAATTCTTAATCAAAATTCAAAATCTCACAAAAACTATTCATGAACCGGAACCTGATGCTAACGTCCTTTTTTTACCCACCCCTTTGTAAATGTCACTGTCATTCTTTTTCTGACAGTGGTGTCACATCAGAAAATGTCTTACACTGGCTGTACACGTCAATATTTTTGGACTATAATTTGTATTAAGCCGAATCTGTAGAATTTTGGCTCAGGATTATGATGACCATAACAGCCATGTTTGTGAGAGAATGTACAGGGTGGTTCAAATTCGTGGCTCATCATTGGGATCTCCGGAAAATGAATCCGGAAAAAGTTAAATTTCGTTTTAATTTTCCCTAGCTTAATGGACCAGTTAGTGCCTTCTATGGATACTTTTTTTCCGACAATCTCAATCTGTTATCAGAGTTTCTACAAGCTACTATTTTCTTATTCCTTATGGGAGCCGTATTGATGTTATTTGTGATACTAGGGAATCGTTTCTTTTGTGGCGATTTAATGTTCATAGTGCAATTTTTATCGATGACTATCTTATTTAATTGTTGATTTTCGTGAATAACCACTTTGATATTTTATTGTAAATTTTTTCTACACAAAGTAATTTTTTAAGGAACCGTTGCGTAAACCATTAACATTTTTTGAAAAAGTATTATCAAAGAAAATGATTCGGAAACTATTTAAGATAGGGATCTCAATTTTCACCAACTCGGAGACCCATCACTACACCCTGAATTCCTGAATATCTTTATCTAGCTCGAGCGAAAGCCTTATTCTTTACACGCGGGGTTACCATAACCATATTGAGTTTTCATAGTACGCACCCAATAAATCTGCCATTGTTTTTCAGAAAATATCTTAACTGTAAATGGTGGGGGTACAAAAAGGAAACGATTTGAGGTAGAATCTCAAGGGCTGCCGGTCGGGTTGTCGGTTAAGAAAGTTGATAACCGCTTCCGGAAGTGCCGGCATTTTGTAAAAATTCTTTACATCGATTCAGTTTTCAGAATAAATCCTTATCTAGCCTCCCTATAATTATAGAATTTAATGGATTATATTAAGATAAGAAGATCATACGAAAACCGATAACTGATAAGATTGTTTTTTACAAATTTATCTAAAACTCAAACAACGGTTTTGTAAATACAAGATACACTAACTCAAAGAAAGAGTTCATTGTACCCTAATGAATAGTGCACTTGGGTCTACGGAAGCAATCGTCGAAACTATGCTTGTAAATGCGAATAACCAAGAATAAAAATAGTTTTTAAGACTCAATAAACGGTATGACAAATGGGGAAATAAAATTTGTTTCAAAACCATAACCTGAAATAGTTATTTGTACACTAGTTTTGAAAGTGCTACTTTTTTTATGAACTTGTAGTTTGATTAATGAGGGCGAAGCCCGAGTTAATTAAGCAAATTCATGACAAAAAGACACTTTCAAAATGTGTTGTACACGAAATTTTTTTGTATAGTGATCCTTAATAACACATAATTGAATAATATCATTGACATTCGTGATTTACTGTCACTCAAAAAGTGATGCTACTATTCATAGATAGGACTAAATGCCACGGAAACGCATAGTATAAATCGTGGAAAAAAGTAACATTTTCCATAAGATTTTTCGTTAAAAAAAGTCCGGTAATTTGATTATGCAAAAAACGTTTTTTCGGCATCTATGTCATTGTACCTACTTGTTTTCCTAATTAAAATGTTGCACATAGCAATTTAGACTGTGTTAATTATTATTCTAACTGCAAACTTTGTTTCTAGAAAAATCGAATCTCGACGACAACAGTTCTCCGAAAAAGTATTCGCTGATAAAGGTATTGGAGAAGTCGCCCACCAAACGACTGTTGCTTTACTCATTTCTAGCCCTTAGTACGTTCACTTTAATCGTCTTTGGCATAGTATGGTCCTTGAAAATGTTCGACAAGACGGACACGAACTCCGAATCTACTCCGAAAGAACGTGAAGAGACTATCATTCGAAATAGTACAACTTACACAAAAGAGGAATGGAGAGGAGAACCGGCTTCCGGAGAAATAGCACGGTTAAGTCTTCCCGTTGAGTACGTTGTTGTCGCACATACCGCCGGGTCGTTCTGTGAATCGTTCGCGGACTGTTCTTATATCATTCGTAACATACAACATCTGCATATGCAGAAGCATAAAGACATTTGGTACAATTTCCTAATTGGTGGTGACGGTGCTATCTACTTTGGTAGAGGATGGAACTTGAAGTCTACAAGCGGAGACAATGCGATCATTGTAACCTTTATTGGAGAATTTCAAAGACGACACCTGACGTCGGGCATGGTATCGGCTCTGGAGCAACTATTGGCTTCTGGGCTTAGTCTGCAGAAATTGGCTAGTGATTACAAACTGGTGGGCCATAACCAGACCAAACCCACAGAGAGTCCTGGTGCTAATGCGTATGAAAGGATTTCGAAGATGCCTCATTTTTATGGGGGCGGTGTTAAACTTAAGCAAAGTGTTCAATGACATTTCGCAGGTTTGTTTACCTGTAGTTTGTGATATATTAATAAATGTATGTTATTTTTTTATACAAATCTGTTGTTCCTTTATTTCAAGCACGAAGACCATGAGGGAAATGGCTTATGTTTCTGTTGTAAATAACAACATCCTTAAAACCACAACAATAAAAGCGACGAAATTTTCAAACTCAAGAACTCTGTTAAATACAAAAATGTACCTAAATGTGCACTCATCGTGAAAACACTTTTTGAGTCAACATCTCTATGCCAAAGTGCACTTTCTCAACTAAAAATAATTAAAAGTGTGATAATTTTCAGTGGGGCGCACAAGTTAGCGCACATTGAGGGAAACTCCTTGCGTGTGGACCTGATATATACAGGTTGTTTCAGGCAAACAGTTAGCTAAAAGTATTATCAGACTCCCATTAATTAATTTAAATCTGAATATTTTGCATAGTAGGTAATAGTTTTTTATGATATATCGAAAGAAGATATCATCCGTTTTACCGGATGTGGATAGCAACTTACTAATTTCAAATAGAACACACTATATTTTATTGCATTTTCAAAATCTACATTACAACAACGTCGTTTGATACCACATTTTCTGATACTAAGCATCAAAGATTTTCGAGTTCTAAAAGATTTTTCAAAGTTTTTGATGTACGACTGCTTTTCACTAGGACCCGAATCTATCACAAAAAAATGACAACTTGATTAGAAGGACGTAAGGACGGATTTAATATTCAGTTTGCATTTGGAAGTTATGTTAGATCGCATACCATTCAGCCCCCTGACCCGAATGTTAACCTCTTCTATCTATAAGCCGTTTGCAAAGATAAAACTTGGTATGACCCTTCCTTAAACAATTCAAACATAACCGAGTCTCGCGCGCCTTCTTAATGCGTTTATCAACCGAACATTTTAAAAATTCAGGACAGTTTTGTATACAGAGTGGCCCAACGAGAAGTATACAGAGGGCTTTTAGGGTATTAAATTTAGAAATTTCGAAAAATCCTCGAACACGTCAATTTTGTATTCGAGGGGGACAACTTTTGGAATACAAACACGAACCCAAGTCTTCACCCCTCTACGTAGGGAGCTTAACCCCTAAAATTTTAAATGGAGTCCTACGGCAAAGGGCACATTATTTGAAAGCCAATCTAATCGTGATTACACTAAGTTTGTTAAACTTAAGTGAACCTGTCAGTTCTCCGAAACGAATCAATAATAGAATTTAAAAAGCAAAGCAGATTAGTAATTAGTATATTAATGATGCTCTTTTCAAATACCTAAAAAAACCTAGGCATTGTATTTCAAAATAAAAGTCGCATCGATTTCTGGTTAAATCGGAAATGATACCGAAAGCTTAAATATGTGGCCGGATAGATTGTAATGTCGCATATAAAATTTTAATTTGGCAAATCTTTCGTATCTCGCCAAGTAAAAGAGATATTAAGGTGACCCTCTTATCTTGAACGCACTGTATACGCCTATACGGAATTGGAACTACGAAAGATTCCCCGCAGGTAATTGCAAATAGAATTTATTGTGTTAGGCAGACACAAACCGCACTCATGTTATCTAAATGCAAAGAAGAGATTTCACTTTAAGAATTGTCAACTAATGGTTCAATAATTTCTTACCATTCGTTGAATTAAAACCGTACTATTTTCTGATCGGCTTCAATCTAGGGCGCCTCGGTAAGAAAGTCGCGATTACGCATTCTTCGTCAGGCAGAATCAGATGTTGGTTAACTGTACTGTATTCTACAGGTGTTTGCCTACTCAGTCGATGATGATGTGGTGTGCCCAGGATACCTGCAGTTAATATAAATCAATGCCATGGATTAAATAATAAGGAATTGGATTTAAAGGCATATAGAGCTACGAAGGATCCACCACGAGCAGATATTTGCAACTTAAATTATAGTGTTAGGAAGATGAATATCTCACCATGTCATGATGTCGTGAATAAAAAAAGTCCATTTCACTCCATGTCGCCTCGGTATGAATGGCACGATTACGAAATTATTATCAGACAGCATCGGGTGGCTCACCAATTGAGCACTTTCTGGAGAAGGATGACTGTACTGCACCATGTTGACGGTGGTGCCTCCGTACTTGGACGACGGTGCTGTGGTTCCAGAAATACCTGCAAGTATAATCTAAATGAATGCAGTTCATAGTGTTACATAGATAGAAATCACAACAACATTGTTTTGATGTTGGGGGTTAAAGAACATCTCAATAAGGGATGTGAGCAAATAAAAAACTCAATAATATATCAATAAATTAAACTCGTGATGCCCATAGATCAACTTCTCTCCAGGTCGCATCGGTGCGAAAGCCACTACTGCGATTTCTTCATAAAGAAATATCAGAGGGCTTGTATTATTGGGCGCTTATTTGCGGTGCCAACAGTGACCCAGTCTTACATTTAATAAGTTCAACATAAAATTAAATTAACTGTAGAGCTAACCTTTAGCGAAACGTCTTGCGGTATTCAGATTCGCTACAAAGAGTTGGACTTGGGCCTTCAAAAATGCGGTAAGTCCTCGAAACAATGGAACGCCTTGCCTCAGGATTTCTTCAGTTGAGGCTGTGGCTTCAATTGACCTAAGCAACGATGGTCGTTGTACCTCCATTTTCAACAGACAGATTTCTTTGTTACGGGATCCTCTCTTCAGCCTAACTGGTTCTCCAACAGATACCATACCAAGTCAATTTCTTTGCGAATTGAGCGACAGTATAGTGGATGGTAGTGCATCCACTGATGATGGTGACTATAAAGCAATAAAACCATTATATCATATCTAATCGGTTCAAAATAAAGACATACCACCTCTAATAGCTAAAAAAACAACCCTGAACGGTCCGCTATCCCATCGGATGGAAAATGCTGGTCGCATCAGTCATGAAATAAATTCCGGCCATGCTTGTTTGTAGATTTGAATTACGTTATAGATAAAACCTACCACCTCATAACAAAGAACCATCAGTCTAAGCACAACCCCTAACGCTTTTCGTGTAGTGTGATCCAAATATGCAACTCTCCGCTAGGTCACACCACTGTGTATTTGTGGCTAGAACTACCCAGGACTCACCACGAGGAGGTGGTTGCAAGTCGAGCCCCACACCATGCCCTCCCATCCACCCAACCTATGAGAGCACGCTAATAAAAATAAACAATAAATTTGAATTTTACTAATAGCCGAAATGAAGATTTAATGCTTTTGAACGTTGTGGGTTGTGCTCAATTTGAATGATTCAAAATGATTTTACTACGACTTTGAGACATCAAACCTAACTTGACGCACTTGCAAGAGGCAGGAACTTTAGAAATGTTTTGCAAAACATTAAAATCTAAAGCAGCTGCGAAAAATCGAGGTTTAGTATATTAAAATCTGTGGTACCACAAAGATAACTAGAGGTAGATAGAAGACTTTACCATTTTTATTGCGAGTTCCTCTTGAAAAGCTTTGTTGTTCTAGTAGTCCAAGTGAGACAGCGAAAGCTCAGCTTATAGCTAAATATATTTATAGTAAAATGCTTATGCGGGCAACAACAGAATTCTTTTATAAGTTAATTTTCAGAGTATGTCAGTAGAATGTAATAGTTCGTAACATAGTTCTCACAGAGCATTATTATACATTTTATAAGTATTTTATAGAGAATAGATAGAGATATTTCAATTTCATAGTTTTTAGAATATCGTTCAGAATATATAGATAGAACATAGAGAGAATAGAAGTGTTTATTTCAGTAGTAGTCATATTTTTCGAGAATTTCAGTTTTAGTTCATAGTTCTTAATCGTGTGTTTCAGATAGTAGATAAAGTAGATAATATTATGTAGAAAGCTTATGTACTTTTAGGATATCGAAGAAAGGAAACCTCAATTTTTGAAAGAGAGGACCTTCGTCTTCCAGCACGATCGGAATCCATATGAGGGTACCTGAAAAATACACTGTGTTCAAGATAAGAATTTGGCCATCGTCATATCTTCTATGATTTTGGAGATCCTCATGATAGACGCCCTTATCTTAGACACAGTGTACATAAACTTAACGAATAGTGCGATTACCTACACAAAAAGATCAGCTACATACATTTTCTAAGAATTTTAGAAAGAATAGATAGAGATATTTCAATTTCATAGCTTCTAAAATATCGTTCAGAGTATAAAGAGCATAGAATAGAGAATTTCAGTTTTAGTTAATAGTTGTTAATCGTGTGTTCAAGATAGTAGATAACGTAGATAATATTATGTAGAAAGCTTATGTAATGTAACGATACCCATCTTCGTGTACCATGAACTTTTCATAAAAAATCCATCTTGATTGGAGTAGGTGCTAAATATGGGGAGGGGGGGATAATATTTTTTGTGCCTGGGATGCAAGCACGATCTTTGTGGACATTAGATCCGTAATAAAAGAAGGGGGAAGCACAAAGTACATCATGAATGTATCGCAGAAAGAAAACCTCCATTTTTGAAAATGTGGACCTTTGTCTCCCAACACGATCGAAATCCATATGAGGCTACCTGAAAAATACACTGTGTCCAAGATGTGATTTTGAACATCGCCATATCTTCTATGGTTTCGGAGATCCCCATGATGGACATCCTTATCTTAGACACAGTTTCGAATAGTGCGATTACCTACACAATAAGAACAGCCACTAGAGCACTATTTATACATTTTCTAAGAATTTTAGAAAGAATAGATAGACAATTTCATAGCTTTTAAAATATCGTTCAAGAGTATAAAAAGCATAGAATAGAGAATTTCAGTATTAGTTAATCATGTGTGCCATGAATTTTTCATAAAAGATCCATCCTGATTTGATTACGTGCCAAATAGGGGGAACTATTTTTTGTGCCTGAAATTTAAGCACGATATTTGCGGATATTAGACCCGCAATAGAAGATGGGGGGGAGCACAAAGTACAGCATGTATCGAAGAAACAAAACTTCAATTTTTGAAAGAGAGGTCCTTTGCCTAGCACGATCGGAATCCATATGAGGCTACATACTTAAGCCCAACTTCTAATGATACCGGAAAGTATACTGTATCCCGATTACTTCCGAAGATATGCCAGAGGAACCGAAATTTACTCGGTTTTTCTCTCATATCTTCGGAAGTAATGCAAATTTTCTGGTTTTCTTTAAAGCATGATAATAACCCTTTAAT